CTTGGAATTGTGAAAGACGTCATAAGCATGCCACAGACCCAGAATCAAACGAAAGGAAAAGACTGATAACATGACTACACAGAAGATGACAAACTGGGAAAATATATTTGCAGCATATGATGGACAAAGAAATAATTTCTTTAATATATCAAAAGTTCTCACAAAGAAATAGGAAAAAGACAAACACTGAGAGATATGTATGAAAAGATAGTTTTCTGAAAAAAAGAAATAGAAAGGCATATCCAAAAATCAGGGAGTCAGTCTCACTCAAATTCAAAGAAATACAAACCAAAATAAAGGATAGGACCCACATATTAGATTGGTTAAAATTGTTAAAGGCTTATATCTGATAAGGACTTTGGAAAATCAATCATTCTTGCTCAAAGAATGCGCAAATCTTACCTACCAATTTCTGTATTCCAGTGACTAATTCTAGACACTGGGGATACAGCACTGAACAAAATCACTGCCTTGAGGATCATATGTTCTAATTAGGAGGGAGCAGATAGGAAACAACTACATATGAATGAAATACAAGGAAGAAAAAGCAAAATAAAAAAGCAAGGGATAAGTGATAAGGTGGGCCATTTTATAAAGGGTCATTGAGGGGGGATTTTCTGGGGAGGTGACATTTGAGCAAAGGCCAACTTTTAAGAAGTACAGTAGAGAGAGCAAGCCAGGTAGCTATTCAGGGGAAATCATTCCAGGAAGAGGGGAAAAGGGAGAGGCTCTGAGGTCAGAGCAAACATGATGGATTCACCTACTTGTTCAGAGTGGCACATGTATGACAGCTGAAGGGGAGAGAGGTGGCAGAAGGGATGGAAGAGGTTGCCATGTGATTTCAAGGTGATGGTAAGGATTTTGGCTTTTATGCCAGGTGGCATCATGGGATGCCATTTTATAAGCAAAAGGTTGAAAAAGCACATGCCTGTAAATTCCAGTAATTTGGGAGACTGAGGCAGGAGTGAGTTCAAGGCCAGCCTGGGCTACTTAGCAAGACCCTGTGACCCTGTCTCAAAAACTAAAAGGACTGGGGATATGGCTCAGTGGTAAAACACCAAGTTTAATCACCAGTGCAAAGGGGAGAAAAATGTTGAGAAGTTCCCCATCTGATCAGGAGTTGATGTCCTTTATTTTCAAACACTTTTTCTGCTTGAGTCAGTTAATACGATAAATTACATTGATTGAGTTTCAAATGTTAAACCAACCTTGCATTCCCAGGATAAACCTCACTTGGTCCTCCTCCATTTTGTACATTGTTAAATTTTATTTTCTAACATTTTGTTACATATTTCTGCATCTGTGTTCATAAGTCATATTCTGTAGCTTTATTTTCTTGTGATTATCTATTTTTTGTATCAAGACAATGCTGGAATCCCAGAATGAGTTGTCAACACTTCTTCTGTTTTTATTTTTTTAGAAGCACTTTTGTGGGTTTCTTTTTATTTATTCCTCAGCTGTTTAGTAGTAAAGTCCATCTGGAGCTGAATTGGGAAGGCTTTGTTTTGGGGAAAGTTTTTAACTGTAAATCCACTTTCTTTAATAGAGAGCTATTTGGGTTATTTCTTCTTGAGAAAGTTTCTCTCTTCTAAGACTTATGAAAATGAAGTCAGATCACAGGCTGGGGAAAAAAATATGCAAAACATATCAAACAAAGGACATATTTATATAAAGAAATATCACGACTCAGTAAGAAAGCAAACAACCCAATTAAAAATAGACAAAAGGCTGGATGTAGTGGCACACAACTGTAATCCCAGGAAGGCTGAGGCAGGAGGATTGTGAGTTCAAAGCTAGCCTTAGGAACTTAGCAAGACCCTAAGCAAATTAATAATATTCTTTCTCAAAATAAAAAATCAAAAGGGCTGGGGATGCTGCTCAGTGGTTAACCATCCCTGGCTTCAATCCCCAGTACCGCCTCCCCCCCAAAAAAAAATAGGCAAAAGATTTGAACAAAGAAAATACACAAATAAGCCCATGAAAGGTGCTAAGTTTTACTCATTATTGGGAAAATGCTAATGAAAACTAGAATGAGTTACCATTGCACACTGACTAAATGAATTTTTCTAAGACTGAATAGAGTTAAGTTGGCAAGAACTTGGAGCATCTTATGCTCCCATAGGCTGGTAGCCATGTAAAGTAGTACAACCACTTTAGAAGCAGTTTGGTAGGCTGGGAAAATGGCTCAGTGGTAAGCACTTGCCTAGCATGAGTTTGATCCCCAGCACCACCAAAAAAAAGAGAACAAGCTTGATGGTTTCTTTTTTTTTTTTTTAAGAGAGAGAATTTATATATATATATATTTTAGTGTTTTTTTTTGTTTTTGTTTTTGTTTTTGTTTTTAGTTTTTCAGCAGACACAACATCTTTGTTTGTATGTGGTGCTGAAGATTGAACCCGGGCCACACGCATGCCAGGCAAGCACGCTACCGCTTGAGCCACATCCCCAGCCCCAAAAGAAAGGAATCTTTTTTTTTTTTTTTTTTTTGTGGTGCTGGGGGTTAGAACCTAGGGCCTTGTACATGTGAAGCAAGGACTCTACCAACTAAGCTATATCCCCAGCCCTTGGTGGTTTCTTAAAAGTGAAAATTATACCTGCCATATGATGCAGCATTCTATGACTAAATATCTATTCAAATAGAAAAAACATGCTCCCACATAGACTTGTACACAGATATTCATAGCTTTATTTGTAATAATCAAAAAGAAATACATAATTAAGTGAAATGATCATCAATAAAATACTACTTAGCTATAAAAAGAAACTGTTGATATGTGGCAATATTCATGCTTAGGAGTAGGATTTGGGGGAGAATCAAGGAAATATATCTCTTATAGCTGAAAACGTTCTTTTCTAAAGATGTGAACTGAAAAATCGTTTTTTAATATGATGAATATTATGGAATCAATATCATTACTTGAGGTGCTATGGCTCCTTTAAGTTTAAAAACAAATTGAAGGGGCTGGGGATGTGGCTCAAGCGGTAGCGCACATGCATGCGGCCCGGGTTCGATCCTCAGCACCACATACAAAAACAAAGATGTTGTGTCCGCCGAAAACTAAAAAATAATAAATATTAAAATTCTCTCTCTCTCTCTCTCTCTCCCTGTTTAAAAAAATAAAAATAAAAACAAATTGAAGTTGCAAACAAGGTCTGTATGCTTAAAATATCAAAACGGTGAAGCTCTGAAAAGTATTGGGCCGCCCATAAATATGAAATAAGATGAACAAGGGCAGAGAGGGAAGTGAAAAATAAGGCTCTGTGGGGATTTCAAGTCTTACAAATTAACATTTGAGCCTTAATTTGCTCTAAGGGGGTCAGTGTTTTCACATTTAAAAACGTATTCAACCATAGGAAAAGTGTCTTTGTCTACTACAGAAAAGGGAAGAGGGAATTATGACAGTGCCAGCACATGTAGGTGGTATTAGGCAAAAGGCAGCCTGCTCTGCAGCTCTGTGGCCGTGCTGCCATCCTTGTGTAACAGAGGAGAAACTAAGGGTTAGTGATAGTTCATAGCCTGTCCAAGAGCTAACGCAAGGCCAGCTCAGATTTGAGCCCAGGTCTGAGACTCCAGAGTCCAGATTACATGTTTGAAAAGTCATCAACGGTGGACTTCCTATTGCTTTAGCAGTTTGCCCGACCCCTTTCCTTTGCATCCTTGGGATAGTGGAAGGTTTTTGGATATTGTAAATTTGTTTCAATAAAAAGTTTGTAACTGTTTATGACAGAAGTGCTGTCTCTGGACCAGGAACATCAACATTGCCTTGCCTGGGAACTTATTAGAAATACAGAATTCTCAGGCATTACTCCTAACCTCCCGTGCAGAAAAAGACATACTACTTGCAAAGAGAGGAGGAACATATTCTCAAACCATCAGGAAGACCTTTTGGAGAATTTCCTACTGTGGCTGCTGTAAAAATTCTGTGCATTATTTTATAACTGCAAATAGTAAAGTATTTTTATCTTGAGTGTGTTGCTGGTAACCTTATTTAAAAAAAAAAACTTAAAATACCTCTGTGTTCTTGAAAGCTGAATAAATTCACACAGTATTTGGTCTCTCACAAAGTACCTTCGAGAAGCTCTTATTGTATGTTCCCTTGTTTTGTGCCCTTGTGAAGTATTTAAGCATAGAGTGATTTTAGTGCCAGACTTACCTGATAATATGCTATGACCTGAGAAGAGCTTACAAAAGAGTGCTTTTATTGACTTTATAAATTAAGCACCTGGTATTTCAGCTCACTTGGCCTTTTGCCCTTCTGGAACAATAATTTCCTTCTGGAACAATTAATGCATGTTTAATGGATATTTGTGTTGAACTGGGTAACTCACAGATTCCCCCATAGGAATTTTTAAGTCAGATTGCCACTTAAATTTTATCATCATTGACCACATTAATTGCATTAAGTGATCAAATTAAACATTACCTAAAATGAAAAAATGTGATTTTTGAATTTAAAAACTCCCAGAAACTCTATACATTTCAGTGTTTTTAATACATTTTTTAAAATTTTTATTTCAAATGCAGTATTATGAACATTAAGAAACTAGAAAATGCAGATAAGCCAAAAATAAATAATAAAAACATCCCCATTCCATCACCCACTGATTATCACTATTAAATTCCTTTTTAAAAATATTTTATTTGTGCATTATAATTATACATAATAGTGACATTCATTCATATATATTAGTATCTGCGCATAGCATAATTTTCTCACTTTCATCCCCCCTTAACTTCCTTTTCCCTTCCCCCATTCTCATCCTCAATGCCACTGGCTTCCCTTCTATGAGAATATATTTCTGAAGTGCTAAACCTTTGCAGGGGAATGAGTAGCATGACTAACTTACCTATTGCTATCAATCTTAGATAAGAATGAACAGTTTCATGATAAATTTTGTATTTTTATGCATTGCTTGATGTTTTTGTATATTTTAAACTTTGAAAGAAAAATACCCTGAAGTTAAAAGTAGGAAAATATTTTTTTCTTATCTGTTTTTAGGAGTTCACACCACAAGAAAAATCAGGTCCCAGGCAGTTACCCTGCTGAGGTTCTGGGATTTACAGAGGGGATCCAAGCCGCCTCTTCCTCCCAGCTCAACCAAGCCAACTCCTCTCTACTCCAAAGTGGGTTTGTTTTGTTGTGGGTTTTGATTTGTTCTAATTGCTTCTTACTCTATCCAGTGTCTCTTCACAGTGCAGTCCAGGGACCTGCATCAGTCACAAATAGTGTTGGTCAGGAATGTCCCTGGGGTCCCTCCTCTGCCACTCGCCCCAGCCTGAGGGGCAATGCGGATGGGGTGGCTCCAGCACCTGCTCCTTATCACCACGCCCTCCCACTAGCCACAGGCTGCCTCCAGGCATAGGCTGCTGCTTGGCTGCTTCCTCCCCTGCGGCTCACTGGAACCTCGGACCTCAGCACTCCCACCCCCTTCCTTCAGTGTTCCATTCTTTCAATCCCACGGCACCCACCACAGCACATCCTTTTTTGACATTTAGTAAGGCCTTCTTTTTGCCTAACTTGGCACCCTTTCAGGGGCTATTTCTCAGGGTTCCTTAGAGAATCTGGTACCAAATAGATATTTAGTGTGTTTTTTAATAATTTAAAAAAAGGAAATTTGCAAAGCGCATCCTACTTTCATTATCAGTTACTGCAACGCAGTTTTCACTATTTAGCGAACAGACTTAATTGCCTTCCAAATGTTAGTTTTGAATCAAGATGAAGTACTTTTAGTTCAGAAGAGGGAAATTGCATAACTTTTGCCCAAACTATTCCTGTGGCCCATCAAATAGCTGTCCTACTTAGAGTGCCGGATACTCTCCTAACACATCATATGCAGACTCTTTGTCCTCTTAGCACTCCTAGTATGTGGTCATTGTATTATTTTCCAGGTGAGGATACTGGGACACAAGAAGTTAAATGACTTGACCAGGGTCACATAGGAAGCTACTAAAGAAGGACAAATCCCAGGTAACTTGGCTGTAGAGTCTTTGATTCCCAGTGCTGCCTCTCAGAGACTTCAGTCTTCCGTGATGTCTGTTTGGAATCTTGGGATCCCCAGGGCTGGTCTGGGAAAACACTGGTGTTTATGACTGGTGTACCTCCTCGTCAACCCCCAACGTGCCTCCACCCTAAACCTGTTCTTCCTCTGCGTTCCCTGCCTCTCCATTACAGCACCACTCTCCTAATGGCTCCAGCTGTAAATCTCTAGCCCCTCCCTACTTGACACCCCAACTTCTCATAAGTCTCAGATCTGACACTTGGGCCCAGCGCCTCCCATCAACACAGTCACTGCTGGCTCAGACCCTCTCACCTCTCTGGGGGATTGCAAAACCTCTTTCCTCTCCAGGCATTTGTCATTCCTCAGCCAGTTATTTTCCAAAAATAGATTTAATAACACTGGGTTCAAAATCCTCTGGTGGCTCCTCGTTGTCTACAGGCCCGATGGCTTGGCCTGAGAGGTCATCGGATTGTGGCTCCTACACCATTGTTCCTGTCTCCTTCCCTGCATGCTTCCTCCATCTCAGGCAAGCCATGACATCTCACACCCTGGGGCCCTTGCCGGGGCCAGATTCGCTATCAGGAAGGGCCTTCTCAGAGCAAGATCGCTTATTCTCCCTTAGGACCCTGCTCAGATGCCATCTCCTCCATTTCTACCCTCCATCTCGGCTCCTGCAGGCAGCGTCCCTGATGTCCAGAGCAGCCTGAGAGCCGTGCTGGCGTCGGCTGTGTGCACACAGATGGGGGCCACAGAGTGGCAGTGCAGCTTGACGCCCTCCATGACTCCAAGGGCCCTGAAGACTGAGATTTAAGAAACTTGAGAAAAAGGAAAAACAGTTCCCATAGATAATATAAAGCAACATACCAAAGAAGCCTATCTAGGACATTTTCCACATAGAATTCATAAAAATGGGTTTTATATGGTTAATTTCCATGCACTCCCACAGCTCCTCAGAAATTGCAGGATTGCTCGAGCCTTAAGCAGAATATATGCACTCTGCCTGGCCCTCCGAGGACTTCCTGAGTTGGTACCTCCCTTCTGCTGACCCCAAGAGCCTTAGAGCAGAGTGAGCTGGAGTTTCCTGGGGCTTTGAGAAGGTTTTGTTAAAGAATTAAAGGTTATCTCATCAGTACTGCTCCACAAGCCCCCAGCCCACAGCAGTGCGGCCGGAGCTGCAGCCGGCTCACCAGCACCAGGCACCCCTGCTCCCAAGGGCATCCTCGGGCTCTGCCACCTGCCCCCGCTTTTTCCCCCTCTTGATACTTATCACAGAATTCTCTGGATTTTTCCCATCTCTTTTTTCAACCACTAGTTATTTTTCCTAAGTGTCACCAACAAGAATAACATAAAATTCAATAACATAAAAATAACAATAAAATTCCAGATATTAGAATTGTTAGCCTCATGGTTGAGAAAAGACAGATCAAAAATGAGCACAAAAATATGGAAATTTTAAAAAAGGACATTGTCAGCTGGGGACATCAACTGTAAACGCCAGGTTAGAGAAATGTCAATTTCAGGCAAGTGACTTAATCCCTCTTTGCTTGTTTCCTACCTTTAAATTGAGATAATCTCTCGTTTTAAAACATGGAGATACTCCAACAATTTTAAATGGATGTTATTTTATAGCAAAAGTCTCTGACCCATTCTTCTAAGAGTAAAACCCACAAATGTGAGCCAGCAAGCCTCCCATGGCCTCTTGACTCTTGTCTGGTGTTTTCTTAAAGTGGTAGTGAGCCTAATGGCTACGCCCAATTCATTGTTAATCATGGGTAAGGGAGGTTTACTGGAGGTTAAGACAGTGCTGCTAAGCCTAGGGCTTTATGTAGCTGTGTTGCAACTGCTGGTCCTTTGCTGGAATGATCGATCTACAGTGAAGCCATAGGAAAAGAATGTGAGGTATCTAGGCTCTGGTTGCTAGCAGGTGGGTGACGCCCAGTTCTACGCAGCTTCTGCCTCCATTCACAAACAGGGAGAGCTGCTGGCTTCTTGGTGACCCAGTCTGGATCAAGGCCCAGGTCCTTGACAAGACTCAGCTGAGACCACAGTCACCCTGGCAGTGGTAGACAGGCATTGTGGTAAGGGACACAGCCTTCATATGCATACTCATGACTGTCACCAAAGACATTTGAAAACAGTGTGTATGGTTAGCAAAAAGTGGAGAGACAATCCTGAGAGTCAATGTGCCCTCTAAGCTTGAGCATCTACTTAGAGAACACCTCAATGCCATCTTCCAAGCCAGACATTATCACAGGAAGCACTGGTCACAGCCTCCCATGTTTAATGGGTCCAGGTGTGTTACAAGGCCACAGTCTGAACCCAGGATCTCAAGCAGGTATACTCTCTTGTCTGCAGTCCTGCCAACTAGACAGAAAAAAAAATTGGGATTTAGAAACAAGATGAAGAGGTTCAAGTCCCAACCTTACTTGTGAAGAGACTTTGAATACATCTTGTGGTCTCTCTGTACCTAGTTTCCCCCCGATATAAGAGGAGCATAATCCTGTCTGCTTTGAAGTGTTGTTTTCAGACTCATATGAGCTGGGGTATGTGATCCTGTCAAGACTGAATACTACCGGAAGGTTAATGTCACTAACCATCCTGAGAAACAATGTTCGTAGGTCCTTTACAATATATGCTCTGTATTAGATGATGAGGATTTTTTTAAAATGTGAGATAACATTCTTGTCCTTATATTAGAATGAGGAAAATGGGGGAGGTGGGAAAGTTTAGTATTTACTGAGTCCCTGTTACGTGCCTGGCATTGTTTGGGACACTTTTCAACAAAAATTAAGAAAACCCTTAATAATAGGAATTCTTATCCCATCGACCACAGTTGAGGAAATTGAGGCTAGAGGTTAAGTAACTTTCTGAAGTCACAAGGCTGCAGGTTAGGGTGGAGATCCTGCTCTCCTTTCCTCCGACACCCTTTCTCCACAGTGGAAAAACTTTCATCTCACACCGACCAAAGCATGAGACACAATGGCTCTGGGGAACTGGGTGGGATGGAACGTTGGCTATCAGGGCACGGAGGCTCTGCCATTATCTTTTAACCACTTGGGATGTCCCATCCATCAAGCTGAAGTCCTGAGTGTGATGAGCCCTGCAAATGGCTGTCAAGTGGCAATGAGGTGGCATCTAACCTGGAAGAATGGACAGGTTCCTGCCCTGCTAACCTTTAGAGAAGATGGGAGCCACCTGTCAAACATGCACCTGCCCAGAATTGTGTGAGGTCCTTTAAGTGCATTCTCTTAATTAACTTCACAACACTCGATGCTATTTTCCTCATTTTCCAGATGGGAAGACTGAGAACTGGCAGGGATTTACGTGGCTCAGGATAAAAACAAGAAGCCAGTCTCAAAGTTGAATCTAGATCTGCTCGACTCAAAGTACTTTTCTCGAACTCGAGCAAAACTGAATCAACTAAAAAGTGACATGTGGTAAGCAGTTTAGTAAAGGGAGGTCCAGGTACTTGGAGAGTAAATCTAATGGTTTTAGAGTTTGGCTTTTAAAGAAGTCCAGTGGAGAGGGGCCTGAATCCAGGACATGGGGTGCAGGGCCTTGGGGACACAGGGGCCAGATGGAGAAGGAACTAGAATGCCCTTAAGGAGGTTGGACTTCAGCATGTGGATTGTGACGGTTCTGACCGCAACAACCAATCTTAGAGCCATGGGGCAAGCTTGCTGGAGGGACCGATGACCTGTCCAACCATTTCCTTTTACAGAGGCACAGAGAAAAGCAGCTCTACTGAGGTCACCTTGCTGGTCAGTAGAACTGGGCTACAACCTGGGTCTGTCACTCAATCTGCAAACCATACTGCCCCATTGTCTATGTCTATTGTCTACCATGGGGTCTCCAGGAAAAGGCGGGTTCAAAATTAGTTCCTTACTCTAAAGCCCATAACTTGGGAAACTACTGTCAAAGATCCTGCCTCTTAAAAAAAAAAATACGATCCCAAGCCTGATTCAGTGGCACATACCTGTAAGCTGGGGGTATAGCTCGGTGGTAGAGCATTCCTGGGTTCAATCCACAGTATTACAAACGAGAAAAACACGGCCCTAGCTGGGTGTGGTGTTTTGTGCCTTTAGTCCCAGGTACTGGCAGATGCTGAGGCAGCAGGAATGCTTGATCCTATGAGTTTGGGGCCAGCCTGGGCAACATAGCAAGACCCTGTCTCAAAATGTTAAAATAAAAACCAAAACGCACACACACACACACACACACACACACACACACAAAGTAACTCTTCCCCATCCTTGAGCTTAAAAAGTTTTGCCAAACAAATCAAAAGATGCTAAATCTCACTGGTAACTTTTAAAAATGCAAATCAAAACAATGAGGTACTATTTATCATCCAGTAGTAGACTAGCAAACCAAATGTTGGTAATGCCCATGGTGGGTGAGGGTGGGCACAGTAGGGGGTCTGACCTTCCCCTGGTAGGAGTCTAAGTAGGCAGATTGTTGGAAAACAGTCTGGAGGGATCTGTATAAGTTGCAATTGTGCATACCTCCCCACCCCCCAACAATTCCAACTCTAGAAACATCCTATGGCTTCACTTAGAAAGTGTACAGAAATGCACTTAATGGAATGTTCACAGTGACTCTTGGTAACTGCTCACTAATATAGCCTAATCGTCACACATCCGTACAAAGAAATACTATGCAGCCTTTTCTAAAGTACATATTTCTATGTGTCGATGTGGAAACTGTTTAAAAAATAAAAAGTGAAAACAAGCTATGGAGAATTTGCAGTGTGAGTCCCATTTGTGTAAGAAAGGAAATTATGTGTGTGCTTCTACATATTTAGAAAATATCTGTAAACACACAAAAACTGTTAATAGTGGTTATCTGGGGAAGAGGGACTAGAGATGGTGAATGGAGGAAACCGTATTCTACTCCTCTATATCACTTACATGTCTCTTTTTATCTTTCCTTATATATTTCCTTTGTTTTTTGCTTCTTTTAAACAATGAGCATTCATTTTTTATGATTAAATAATCATTTATAATTCTTTTTATAATTGAAAATATTAAAAATGGAGCTATCATCAATAGCTTACAAATTTTAACTTAAGAACCATTAGAAATAAACCAAACAATCCTATATTCAAATTTACACATAAGACCCTTCCTGTTCTTCTTTTTATGGGCTGATATTCCTTCATTCCCCCACTACTTAGTTGGTGCCTACCATGTACCAATTACTGAGTCTGAGGCACCAGGGTTCTCATCTTCTGAAACAGGGGAGTTATTTAAGTCTACCCAGATGTGGTCCTGAAGGAACCAGATTGAACCCATTCAATAGATGCCTCCTGGATATTTTCTAGGCCCTGGGAACCGAACAACAAAAGTGGTACAACCTCTGTCCTCTTCAGAAAAGCTCACATTGCAGTAGAGACAGACACAAAGAGGAACTCACACAGGACAGAGCTGAGACCATGCAGAGCCACTGTGGGCCACGTGGGGTGCCTCACAGGGCCTAGGTGTTCAGGAAGGCCACCTGGAGGAATGGGGAGTGCTCCTGGGTGTGGGAGTGGAGCGGAGTTCACCAGGCAGGGAGATCGGTGCCAGGGAAGTGTGTGGGGGGGGGGAGGCTGTGTGGACCAGCAGCAGGGGAGCAGCTGGATTAAGGGCGGCTAGCTGTTCAGAGACATCTCACTAAGACGCTTGGACTTTCCCAAGCGTGTGCTAGAATGACATGGAATTTGTGTTTTACAAAGGCCACTTTGGCTACAATGTGAGGACAGAGGAGGGAGAAGAAAGGCCAGGTAGAGGGACTTTGTTTTCCTTGTCCATCACGTCCACACTACTCTGATGATCTGAACCATGTCTACAGAGCACCTGTCCTACTCTTAATATTTTTCTTAAATTAGCTCATATTAAAATTTTTGTTTAAATAGGAAACTATATATAAGAAAGAAGTGGCTACATGGGTCCAGTGTCGTACCCAGGGCTGCAGGACAGACAGGATGGCCAAGAGAAGTGGGTCTGCGGTTGCTGACCTGGTCCCAGGGGCCTGGAGACCTGGCAACAGACAGTGATATGAGCAGATGAGGCCCAACTAGTATTGGACAAAAACATGTGCTTATGTGCTTGGTCCTTGGCAAGTGACCAGCTGACCTCTCCTTCCTCCTTGTTGCGGCTTCTTCCCCAGGTTTCCATATTTTCATTTCCCTCCTATCTCTGAATCTGCCTTCCTGTTAAAATCAGCTCTTCTCCTTTCTCCAGTGTTGGAGGCTCTGGGATCCAGGCAGGTCCCATCCTCTTTCCTTCCTTATTGCAATTCAGCTCATTGTAAGCACTTACGTTCCAACTTTACCCTGTCGACATCCAGAATTTGAGCTTCAGCTCAAACTTCTCCAGTGAATTCCAGTCTTATATCCAAGCATCTACCTGACACATCTATTTCAATTGTTAATAAATCCTGTCCTTAGCACATCCCAAACAGGACTCTTTTCCTCTCTCAAACTGTCTATGCCTGCTGCCCTCACATCTCAGCAGAGGCGAATCACTCCTTCTAGTTGCTCAATTGGAAATCCTGCAATCTTCTTTGACTCTTTTAAAAGCACATTCTGGGGGCTGGGGATGTGGCTCAAGCGGTAGTGCGCTCGCCTGGCATGCGTGCAGCCCGGGTTCGATCCTCAGCACCACATACCAACAAAGGTGTTGTGTCTGCCGAGAACTAAAAAATAAATATTAAAAATTCTCTCTCTCTCTCTCTCTCTCTCTCTCTCTCTCTCTCTCTCTCTCTCTTTAAAAAAAAATAAAAAATAAAAATAAATAAAAAATAAAAGCACATTCTGTAACCAGTTTTGAGTAGGAAATCATGTTTGAATTCAGAATAGAGCTAGAATTCAAAACTCACCATTTCACTCTACCACCCTAGGTTAGGGTTAGGGTTAGGCAATTGCAATTGCCTCCTAACACTGGGCAGCCAGATGATTTTAAAACAGGTGAGATCTGCCTACTCCAACTCTCCAGTGCTTTCCCATCCCAGAGTAAAGCCTAGAGTCTGTACAGAAGGCTATACAGTTTGCTCCCCTCCCCTCTTGTTATTGTCTGACCTCATGTCTCGACTTTCCTCCTCTGCCCCCTTCAGCCACACTCTCGTTGGGCTGTCCAGTGAATACACGGAGAGTCCCCACTCCCACGCATGGCTGAGTCTCTGCCTGCACCCATCTTCCCCCAAATACCTTCCTGACTCACAACCTCACCTCCTTCAAGTCTTTGAAACCCCAACTACCTCTACCTGCAGAACTTGCCACTTCTTAACATAGGATTTTATTTACCGTGATCCTACCTAGAATGTTCTAGGAGAGAGGATTTTGTTCTGTTCCCTGTCCCATCCTAGTATCTACGACAGTGCCTGGCATATAGTAGGCCTCTTCTTGAATGTTGAGGAAGAGCACACCTCTGAAAAACAGGGAATTTCGGCTGGGCAAGGGCAATCTGTGTGTAGTGATGGAAGCGGGAAGGTGCAGGAGTGCATGTACTGAGCCCGAGGAAAGAGCGCTGAGGAGGGAGCGCTGGGGGAGGTTGAAGCCCAGATGTGTATCTGAGAGGGCCAAGCCAAGTAGAGATGAGAAACTGGAGGCTGGTGGGAACGAGGAGGGGGAGGTTGGGCGCTTGGGAGGAGGCTCAAGTAAGGCTCCCACGACCACTCCACAGGGACCCACGTTGCCACTCACTGGCAGACAATGTGAAACAATGGTTAGGTTAGCTGATTTCCAATGACTGTCACAAAATGGTCAATCTGAGATGGATGAGTCGGGCACTCTAAAACCGGACCCCTGCGGTGGGCAAAGAGAGGAAGAGAAATTTCGAAGATATTTCTTCTTAAGAAATTCAGGAAGGGCCCGGATGCGAGAACTGGGAGATAAAAAGGGCCCGAGGAAGGCGGCGATGCCCTTGCCAGGCAAGTGCAGTGGCACCGCGGGGCACCGCAGACGGGAAGAGCGGAGGGCGTGGGCGAGTGGGCGAGCAAGGGGGCGGCTCCGGCCGCCAGGCCGATCTCGGAGGGTTGGGAAGGGCTGCGGGGCGGGTGGGCACAGCAGAGCTCTCTGGGTGAGCACGCGGAGGTCTGCCGAGGGCTGCAGGTGCGCGCCGAAGCTGCGGGGAGCCGGCGCCAGCCTGGGC